CTCTCTTTTTCTTTTCTTTTTTTGAGACAGGATTGTACTACGTAGCTTTGGAACCTCCCAAGTGCTGGGATTAAAGACATGCATCACCACCTCCCAACTGGTCTAGAATTTTAAAAGTCAAGACTTGAGAGCCCCTATTAAGTATTTTGAATTCAGTTAGAGGGGGAAAGAACCTAACCAGGACACTCTGAGGAAATCCTGGAACATTTTACTTTAAACAGAAAAGTAGTTCATCTGTATCACATTCTCACAGGAAATTACTGGCTGGATGGGAGAAGGAAAATGTCTGTAGATCAAGAAGACCTGGTTTGAGAAAGATCATTTCTCCCTTAATTGTCTGTGGTTCTTTCTCCCCAGCTGCGGGCTTGGGAGCTTCCCCTTCCACCTTCATATGTACATGGACGATGCGGTTGTTGAGTTCATGTTTAGGTGGCCATGTTGGTGGGACTTCAAGGTGGCTTCTCTAATGTTTCTAGGAGACACAATCGCCAAAAAAAAAAAAGTTTAGTGTGTGTGTGTTTGTAATGTCTGGTTATGTTTTGTTGGTTTTGTTTTGGGGGTGGTGGCTTTTTGTTTGTTTGTTTGGTTGGTTTGAGTTTTGATTGTTTATTTGGGGTGTTTTGTTTTTTAAGACAGGATTTCTCTGAGTAGCTCTGACTGTCCTGGAACTAGTTCTATAAACCAGGTTGAGCTTCGAGACGTGTCTGCCTCTGCCTTCTGAGTGCTGGTATTAAAGGTGTGCGCCACCACACTCATCTCGATTTTTTTTTAATAAAGAAAGAAGTGTTGGAAATGCTATATGACTGCTAAAAATAGCAAGGCATCTGTAACTTTAGTACTGAGGGTGGGAAGAGAGATGTATCCTGAGGCTCGAAGATCCACTTTAATAAGAGACTTTATCTCAAAAACTAAGGTAGGCGTGACTGAGAAAGACATCTGAAATTGATCTCTGGCCTCCAGATGCATGTGCATTCATATTCATGTGTACCCACATTCACATATGCACACACACACACACACACACACACACACACACACACACACACACAAACTCCAGTTCCTGAAGCTCTGACGCCCTCTTCTGGCTTCTATAGGTACTGCAGGCATGAAATACATAAACACCCATACAAGCACACACATACATAAAATATAAATACATAATGTAAGAAAGTAGATTTTGGGGGTACATTTTAAGAGTTCAAGTGCATTTCAATTTTTTTTAACTAGATGGAAGCCAGCAATATTGTCTAGTGGTTAAAAATGTCTGCTGCACAAGCCTGAGATCTGCAGTCCCCAGAACTGCATAAAGGTAGAAGGAAAGAATCGACTCCATAGAGTAGTCCTCTAACACACACACATACACCCTTTGTGGTGTGCCCCCCACATGTATGCATGTACACCACATATGACCATCATGCTGGTGTGTACACAACTAACACACACATGAACACAAAATACTTGTTTTGAAATAAAATCAGACCATAAAATCAATACTAACTATCCCCCACAATGTCTGTATTTGCAAATTCTTTCAATCTCTGAAATGTATTTGTAACTCTAAGCTCAGTTCTGAGGTACCTGTAGGGAGATGCACAGACTCACACATATCTGAGTGATATATATATATATATATATATATATATATATATATATATATCACATACCATACAGCCTCCTGATCAAGGTCAAATAGGGGGACATTCTTGTCATCAGCTTCCATACTATAGGCAAATCCTCCTTTTTATAGTCTCATTAATGCCACTGTTCTCCGATTTCTAGCCACCTCCCCATGGGGGCATGTTCACATGTGTGTGCACGACCACTTGCAGCTTGCAGTGCCTACCCCCATGGAAAAACTGTACTGAAGTGCATCTAGGAGATAATGATGCTGCTTTACAAGAAGATAAATAAACTTTATTCGGGTATGGGTTATGCTCTAGTTAGTCTTGAGTTCAAGGTAAGCAAATCTACTCTGTGTAGTCATGTATGGATAAGTTGATAGACCGTCACACCAGATGCTCTCAGAAACAAAGTTCTACACTTCACCTGGGAGATGTCATTCAGTATTGGCTGATTCAATGTATGGCAACTCTATACATAAGTCATTAAATAACATGGCCATTTCTAGTTACAAAGGCAGCTTCACTGTGGCTGGCTTTATCCGTAGTGACTTGTTAGGCTGGCTGGAGTGTGTCACCATAGCTTCTTCGTCCTCTGCACTGAATCCGTCTTCAGATTCTGAATCGTGTTTTGTGGTGACCAGCAACCCTTTTGAGACCTCCTGCGTGAAAGTTCAGATAATCTAGACGGGGGCAGTGGTCGCTGTCCACGGTGCTGATCGCCTAAAGCCAGCTTCCTGCCAGAGAAGCAGCTTCCACACACTCAAGAGAATCTAAGCATCCCAGTCCGGGCCTGGGGAATGGCTCAGCAGGAAAAGGCACCTTCTGCCTGATGATCTGAGTTTGTTTCCTGGGGACCACATAGCAAAAGAAGAACTCAATTCTGAAAATTGTCATCTGACCTCCACATACATACCATGGCATGTACACCACACACTAAATAAATAAGGGGCAGGAGAGACACCTCAGTGATTAAGAGAACTTGCTGCTCTTCCAGAGGACCTGGGTTTAAGTCCCAGAACTAGGTGGAGGCTTACAATGGGGGATCTGTTATTCTCTTCATCCAGTCTCAATAGGTACTAGGTTTACATGTGACGTACGTGATGTCCAGATATACACGCAGGAGAAACATCCATATACATTAAATAAATAAATAAATAAATAAATAAAACACTTTAAAAATTAAAGGCCCTGGCCCTGACTCCCCAGTAATCAGTTTCCAAGAGAGACTTCATCAAAGAGTGAGCTGGAAGAGATAAACTTGCTCTCATCCCAGGGGCACAAGATGATGTCCTCAAGAACCAAGGGTCATTTGTCCTAGAGCAAGGAGGATCCCAGACTGGGAGCAAGATTCTTTATCCAGCAGTGTAAGATAAAGGCTTGTGCCTAACCTGTGTCTTCTAATCTGCCGTAGCTATCTTTAAGCTGTTTTTGATTCTCTGGGAACTTTAGATCTTCCAGCTATTTCTTGTAAAAAAAAAAAAAAAAAAAAAAAAAAAAAAAAAAAAAAAAAAAAAAAAAAAACCTTGAGACTCTGAACTCCCGTACTGACCCTGAGCCTCTATAACTATTGCAAAAGGAAGAGGTTCCTAGTGGATCTTAGGGAAGGTGGTGACCCATCTGATCAAAGAAGCCAGGAGAATGAAGGAGCTCAGTGAGATGGTTGATGAAGAAGGAAACAGCGGGGAAACTGAGTCAGAGAGATGGCTCAGCAAGGAAAGGCACTTGCTGCCAAACCTGAAGACCAGAATCCACATCGTGAAATGAGAGAACCTATTTCTTTTCCTTTTTAATTTTTTATTTTTTTTATTTGCATTAGTATTTGACCTGCATGTCTTTGTGAGGGAGTCAGATCCACTGGAACTTGAGTTACACACAGCTGTGAGCTACCTTGTGGGTGCTGGGAATTGAACCTGGATCCTCTGGAAGAAAGCAGTCACTACTCTTAACCGCCGAGCCATCTCTCCAGCACTGGAGAGAACCTATTTCTGAAAGCTGTTCTCTGACATTCACATGTGCACTGTAATCAGCATACGCCTGCCTGCATTCACACACACACACACACCTAATAAATAAATAAAAATGCATAGGCTCATATATCAGAATGCTTGGTCCCCAGTTGGTAGAACTGTTTGAGAAGGATTAGGAGGTGTGGCCTTTTTGGTAAAGGTGTGTTACTGGAGTGGGTTTTGAGGTTTCAAAAGCCTGTGTCATTCCCAGTTAGCTATTTCGTGATAGTTGTTGTCTCAAGATGTGAGTTCTTGGCTACTGCTCCAGCACCATGCTTTCCTGCCTGCTTCCCGCTCCCCACCTATGATGGTCACAGACTCAGCTCTGAAACTGTAGCCCCAATAAACTCTTTTTTTTCTATAAGTTCCCTTGGTCATAGTGTCTTATCATAGCAATTAAAAAGTAACTAAGATACCTTTTCATTGCATCCTTTAGTTTTTTAAGTTAATTTATTTCTTTATTGTGTTTGAAGCCTGGAATTTGTTGCATAGTTTAGGGTGGCCTTAGATTCATGGTGATTCTCTTGTCAATGCTATAATATGAGAACAGGCCATGCAATGTCATTAAAAAACAACTCAATAATTTTAAAACAGTGTATATTTAAAACTTCCAAGCTGGAGAGGTGGCTCAGATGCACCACTCTTGCAGAGGCTCTAAGTTTGATTTCCAACACCCTCATCAAATGGCTTCCACAGCTGCCTATAACTCCAAGGGATTCAATGCCTTCTTCTGGCTTCTGCAGGCACTCGAACTCACGTGAACACGCTCACACACAAACAGGAACACACGCGCATGCACAGACACAAAAAAATTCAAAAATTTTTTAAATTAAATAGCAAAACACCCATCATATTCACATATATGCAATACATGTATATATACACCAAATAATAATTCTTAGTTAGGGTTTCTATTGTGAATAAGCACCATGACCAAAAGCAGCCTGGGGAGAAAAGAGTTTATTTCAGCTTACACTTCCAGACAACAGTTCATCACTGAGGGAAGTCAGGGTAAGAACTCAAACAGGGACTTGGAGTCAGGAGCTGATGCAGAGGTCACGGAGGAGTGCTGCTGACTGGTTACTCTCCTGGGTACAATACCCAGGACCACCAATCCAGGACCAATCCAGGGGCGGCACCACCCACGGTGAGTTGGACCCTCCCTCTGATCAATCACCAACCAAGAAAATGCACCACAGGCTTGCCCACGGGCAAATCTTAGGGAAGCATTTTCTGAACTGAGAGTCTCTCTTCCCAAATAACTGTAGTTGTGCTAACAACAAACCAGCTGGTACAATAATCCTACTGCTTCTGTAGTGAGGGGTGTGGAATATTATGTGAATTCTCCACCATGAGCATTTATCGCAAGAAATCATGGTTAGGGATTTTAGGGTATTTTTCTTTAAATTGTTTTTCAATAATGCTTGACATGTGTCTGCCCACCTAAAGCATGATCTTCGGTTAGGCAAAAGAGACATCTCGTAAGAAGCCAAAAGGTCCAGCGTTCTGAGATTCACCCCAGCCTACTGAATCAGAGTCTGCATCCCCGCGGCGCCTTTCCTTTTCTGAGACTGGATCTCAAATGTAGCACAGGCTGATCTCAAATTCACTATGTAGCTGAGGATGTCCTCAGCTTCTGAGCCTCTTTTCTCACCCCCACCCCCAGCTCTAGTCTTACAGGCATGCACCACCACATTCAGTGTGTGTGGTACTGAGTCTCACACCTGGAGCTTCCAGGATGTTGGACAAGCCCTCTTCCCGCTGAGCTGCATCTCCAACCCCATAACCTGCATTTTAACAATGAACACATTAAAGTCTAAGACGTTTTAATTCTTGTTAGTGCCGTGCCTTCTGTGGGGCCATGTTTCTTCCCAGTTCAAAGGGACTGTGACTCGGATCCCTGTCTTTGGTCGCTCACAGTTTCAGCGTTCTAAACTTGTCTCTAAGATTCATCTGTGTGAGTTCCTATAGCAACACGGCCGACAGGCCCAAAGAATGTGTGGTTTGGTTGAACAGCTAGCTCCTGCTGCCCCAAGCCAGACTCAAGAGGACACTTAAGTAGCTTCCTGCTGCAGGTCCTGAAAAGGTCGAAGAGATGAGGAGTAAGAGGAGTAAACCTCTGCTGGAACTGATTTAAAAGAGCTCCTCCTGTGATGTGGGCCAGGATGAGGCCCTGGAGCTGCACTGCCATTGGCTCTGCTAAGTACCTTGGAGAAGATGGGACTCTGACCCCGCGGGAATGCAGGCTGCAGAGTGGCCTCTGGGCGGCAGCAAGCACGCGCGCGCGATGCCACCGCAAGACGCAGCTCAGTACGGGCTGAGGCACAGAGCTGACTCAGGACGGGAGGTGGCGCTGCGGGGTCATGGCTTACTCTGGGCAGAGACAAGTCCGGGGGTGACCCGGGGAAAACACCTGGGCAGGTGTGGGCGGAGTCTGAAGGGGCGGGGTGTCTAGGGGCGTAGCCTAGGCCTGGCCCACGGGCGCTCCTGGTTGTGCCTCCTGGAGATGCTGGCTTTATGAAGTCAGAAGACGAGCGTCCCCAGACCCAGACGCGCTTCCCGCGACCCTTCCAATCCTGAGAGGTAAGTTCAGCCGCGTCGGGTCGGTCCTATTCCGGGGTTCCAAGTATCTGAGCAGCCACGGGGCGCGGTGACTTCCAAGAAGAAGATTACGCTTGTCCGCGGGTGGCGGGATGCTGAGACACTTCCCGGGCGATCTGGGTCCAGCTCCAGGCTTCTCCCCAGACCCCAGCCGGGATACAAAGCTGAGCGACAGGCGCTTCTGAGCCACTGGAGGCGGGGGCGGGGGCGGGGAGTGCGTCTCGGCTCTTCTCTGCCCAGCTCACCCCACTTCCCAGCTTTGAAGAGCATGCACTTGACCGCGACTGTTCCTTTCAGCCGCCTAAAAGCTTTTCTTTGGAGGTGACTGTTGGAGAAAGAATCAAGCACTTGAAGCGGTCTGGTAGGAAGCGGCTGCTGTCACAAAGCAGGCGGCTTTTGCCACAAAACTGCGCCAGGTCGCTCCCCGCCGGGGAGACAGGGCCTGCAGCGTGTCCATGGGAGTAGTGCTGTTCCACAGCCTTGAGTCCTTTCCTTTGAGTCTCAAGTTATATGCGAACAGCACCGTGGCATGGAGGGAATCGAAACTTTTCCTGGTCCCAGGCTTTTGAGCCCAAGTTCTAGGATGAACAACAGAGCCTAGCAAAGGTCTCACCCCTCACCAAGCTTTCTTTCCCTCACAGGAGAAGAGGCAAGGTTTGAGGGCAAGCGAGGGAGGAGGAAGAAACCAGGGACCTGGAATTTCAAAGAATTCTTTAAGTCTTCTGTACTGTGTGACCTTGGGCAAGCAACCTCTTCGCACCTCACTTTGCACCTCTGTGAGATGGGAGTAGTGATAACGCCTCATTTAGTCTGCAGTGAGAAATCAGGCGAGGAATAGAAGGCCTGGGTGCTGGTTTGTCAGTGACTGGCAGCTGCTATTACCGCTGCTAGTGCAGCTGTCTCTGCAACCACTATCATTACTTAGGGAACAGCATAACTAGTGTGGGTTCTTGAGTTCAAATCCTAACCCGGACACTTTCTATTATGACCTTGGGCAAGCTATTTAGTCTATCGGTGTCTCCATTTCATTTGTATGATGGGGGAATTATGATCCCTACCTGAGAAGATTGTTGAGCACATTCAGTGAGCTAACCCTTAGGATGAGTTCTGAATGAATCAAATCAACTTCAAATTCCTCTGCGAAAGCACCAGACTGAATCAAGCCCCACAGTCTATAATCTGTTTTACCTATAATCTTGCTTTACCTTAGAGTTGAAATATTTATGTGAACATTCTGGAATCCCCCATCACATGACTGGCTGATCCTCTGGGGAAGAGAGGAAGGGTCAGAGGAACCCCAAGAATCATCTTCATTGAGAAGACCTAGTGTTAGGAACAAGAGTGTCCAGAATTTAGCTTCTGGCAAGAGTCTGGCAGAGGAGGGAATCATCTCTGGGCTGCAGTTATACATGAACTCATCCTGGAGTTGCTCTTTACAGACAAATTGCTAACTCTTTCCTTCCTTCCTTCCTTCCTTCCTTCCTTCCTTCCTTCCTTCCTTCCTTCCTTCTTTGTATCCCTGGGTGGCCTAGAACTTGGTATGTAGACCAGAATACTTGCACTCACAGACACCCTCCTGCCTCTGCCTTTTGAGTGCTGGAATTTAAGGTGTACCACCATACTCCACACCTTTTTATTAAAGGGTGACACAATATTTAAAACAAAGTAAAGCCAAGTAAATTACTGCTGGTCAAGAGGCTAATGGCATAATTCTGAAAATAAGAGATAGCTTTTCTCTATCTAGAACAATTATGTAAGTCTATAGGGGACAGGTTACGGGGGCAGTCTGGCCTCTGAGCATCTCACCCCTGGCCCCCATTCTCTCTTTCTTTTGTATTATAAGCCTTAAACCTGCTAGCATGGTAAACTTGAGAGATTCATTCCCGCAACTTTCCCCCAATTTTGGACCATATCTCATGGATTCAGGACAGAAGAAAATTAAATCTTTTGGTCCAGAATCCAACCTAGAAAACTTGGTGATAGAAATGGAAATCGTTCTGTTAAGCAAAAAAAGCCATTCTTTAAAAGATGTTTTCTCTCATATCCAGAGCCTAGATTTAAGTGTGTGTTTGGGGGGAATAACAAGGGGATCATGAGCAAACGGATGCAGATTTTAAGGGAGGAGGGGAGGAGTAAAGAGGGAGTAACAGAATACATATGGCATGAAAACAGAGTGGGGGGGGTTATTTGGGAGGAAGAAGAGGACCAGCAAGTGCAATGGGGGAGAGAAATAGGAACAGAGTATGACACATATGTATGAAAATGCCATAACAAAACCCACTAGTTTGTACAGTCATCTCGCAAAAGAAAATAACTTGATGGGGTCATCAAAATCCTTGACTTGAACACAGACTCCATACGGACACAGGAGCCATGCTGTGTATCTTGAGCAAGTCACTCCATCTATCTGATATGGAGATAACAGTACATCTATCCATCTCGTGTGATTGTCAAAATACATATAAACTCCTGCATATTTATATTCAGAGATCACATATGTATGAGACTGATAATTCCATCTACTGTACAGTGAGTTCATTGCTAAAATGAATATCTTGTACCGTGCTGGTTCTGCAACTGAGAGGCACCATACAAACTGTGAGTGTGCTCATTCATTTCCCAAAACTCACCCCCAAAGCTGCCATTGAATCAAGGTGCCCTCTCCAGACTATACTATCTTAAAATCAGGTAAAATGGCATGATGCCTGCTAAATATGGAACAGCCAACAGCCATTATGTCGGGTGCTGCAGAAAGCACTTGACCTGACAGTAAAGAGAAGAAACCAATTATCTCACTTGTAAGAGAGCAACATGGAAAGGAGCGGGGAAAACATGGTCAGGACATGATCTACAACAGCTGCTGGGAAGTTGTGGGAGATTACATCAGTCAGTGAGTGACACCTTGCCCAGTGTGTGCAGGAGGGACATTTTGCTAGGCACCATGAACCATCGTAACACAGGAAGGTTGCTCTCAAGGAGAGGTGGCCAGTGGAAGCGATAAGGCACGGGTTATAGTTCCCAGCCTGTAACAGAAGTCTGGCTGAGTTGCTGTGAGGTCACCAGCCCCAGGAACTCCAGGGAAAGGTCCTTCAGCCAGCCCAGCCAGTATGTGCAGGTTATGTATTGCCCTGCCCCCACAGGGCTTGGCCTGGGGGCCCTCAGAGGAGGAGGCAGCTGTGGTAGCCCAAAGCAAATATCCTGGAGAAGGGGCCAAGGGCTCAGAATGCAGCCTGTCCAGCCCTCAGAAGAAGAAGATGGCCTCTAAGAACATGTGGGCTTGGTGTTTCCCAGTCGGAAGCTCCAGGGACAGGGCTGGCAGGCCCGTGCTTGCAAGCTCACTTACCGTCTCCTCTGTCCCTTCAGAACTCTGCAGACTGCAAAGTCCCCTCCTCACCATGGCGCCTGGAGAGAAGATCAAAGCCAAAATCAAAAAGAATCTGCCTGTTCGAGGCCCCCAGGCACCAACCATTAAGGACCTGATGCATTGGTACTGCCTGAACACTAACACCCACGGCTGCCGCCGCATCGTGGTATCCCGAGGCCGCCTTCGGCGTCTGCTGTGGATCCTGTTCACGCTGACCGCAGTGGCCCTCATCATCTGGCAGTGTGCCCTCCTCGTCTTCTCTTTCTACACCGTCTCTGTCTCCATCAAAGTCCACTTCCAGAAGCTGGATTTCCCTGCCGTCACTATCTGCAATATCAACCCCTACAAGTAAGAGGCTGTCCTGGCATCTGGGAGCGGGAAAAGTCTGGCCTCTCAGGGATGCCAAAGCCCCTCCCCCAGAGCGGCGGTCTGAGTGCCACGCCAACCTGCTGACACAGGTTTTACAAATTTGATTTGATTGCCAAGATCGGTTCCAGACCTGTAAATACTCTCAGTTCAATGGCTATGCCTAAGGCAGGAAGGCAGGGAAAGCTGCTCCAGCAATTCTGCTTCGAGACTATTCCAGGGAACAAGGTTAGCATTCTGCCTCCCCCAAACACACATGTAGCCCGCCGGAATCTTTCCTTTTAGCTTCTTTAGCTTCACTCCCTTACTCTCCCCCAAAGCCAGGCTGACTCAGAAGTGACACCCAGGTGACTTCCGGAAGCATCCTTGCTACCCTGACCCCTCATCTCAGTGAGCCCAGCCCAGTAATTGAGCTCCCTGGGCTCTGGACAGGATCAACCCTTGGTGCTGCCTTGTTGTCAGTGGCAGGACCTGTTCTAAATGGGTCATCAGTGTCCTTGGGATTATGGGAAACTGATCTGGGGAGGCAAGTCAGAAGGCAGCAGAATTTGTGGCAGGGGGTGGGGAGTTGGGGGGGGGGTACAGAGCTGGCATGCAGTGCTGGGGTGCAGAGGGGTGGGGCATGCCGAGATGAGGTTGAGGGGGGGGGTGCAGGGGTGCAGAGGGGGGTCCAGAGCAGGGAAGAGCAGAACTGACCAGAAGCTGAGTTGGTCAGAGGCATGCACTGAAGGCAAAGACAAAAACCAAAGTCAGGTCTCAGGCTCTACCTCCAAAGTCTCCTCACTGTCTCTCTCCCTTTCTCCCTCCTCTCCCATCTTTCCCTTCTCTTTTCTCCACCCATATTCTAGCCATAATTATTTACTTAACCTTTGCAAATTGTGAGCCACTTTGCTGAGTTCCAGGGCACAGCACAGAATAACCCTAACACACTCTTTGCCCTAGGAGAGCTTGTGCTACAGTAAGGTAGTGAACTATTAACAAATATACTTATGCCACTACAAATAATAGTGGCCATTTAGTTACCTATGTGCATATATATTTCTTTTAATAATTTAACATTATTTATATACTTGGAGACAGTTATGCTATGTAGCTCAGATTGTTCTTGAACTTGTAATCTTCCTGCCTCAGCCTCCCAAGTGCTGGCATTGTAGCTATGTGCCACCACACCCAGCTATATTTCTTTTGCCTATAGTAAACATATTGAGCCTTCCCAATAACCTTATTTTACAAATGAGTAGGCTGGGAACCTGAGACACAGAAACGCTAAGAAACTTTGTCTGAGGTCACATAGCCTGGATTAGAATGGAGACTTGAACAAGGCAGGTAGTTTGACTCTGAAATTGATATCCCTAGCGACTGTGCTATGTCACAACCTCTACAGAAAGCAAGAGGGAGAGAGAAGATAGTGTTCTGAGAGAAACTGGGACCACATGGTATAGAGACCATTTACAAAACAAGCAAACAAAAGGAGGCTTCCTGTCGTCAGCTCTCCTGGGGGTTGTCAAGGTGACACTCCCAACCTCTTGCCTGGCAGCACTGACTGGAGGATGTCCAGTGGGCAGAGTGCGATGGGTGGAAACGTTAGCAGTTATTCATGTGCCCTCATTTTGGCTGCTTTATGGGCGGCACCAGAGAGTCAGCACTCCAGAAACACTGACTGGGGGCCTCAACATACCCAAGAATAAATTGACAGACGTTGCAAAAATGGGGATCCAATGTCATTTTAGATGGTACAAACAGTGAAAGACCTGGTCCCCTTGGCAAGGAAGTGGTCGGGAGACACAGGGCTGACACCAAGGGAGGACACCGTGTAGAAGCAGCGGCACTGTGCTAGAAGCCGTTCCTCTCTGTGATATCTCCTCTCCACTTTGTCAGGTACAGTGCTGTGAGTGACCTTCTGACTGACTTGGACAGGGAGACAAAGCAGGCCTTGCAGTCCCTGTATGGGGTCAAAGATTTTCCAGAGGATACAACTCAGAAACGCCGGGAAGCAAGATCCGTTCAATCCACTTGGGAAGGCCCGCCACCCAGATTCCTCAACCTGATCCCGCTGCTGGTCTTCAATGAGAATAAGAAGAGAAAGGCCATGGACTTCTTCACTGGTCGGAAGCGGAAAATCAGTGGGAAAATCATCCACAAGGCTTCCAACGTTATACATGTTCACGAGTCGAAGAAACTGGTGGGATTTCAGTTGGTAAGATCCACTTTGTCACAATTCATATGTATGGGAGGGGGATCTGGGGGTGGTGGGGCTCAGAGTCCCTTCTTGATCTTTAGAGCCAGTAGGCCAACTGTAAGATTTATACCATGTTAGAGTGATTTGGTGGCAAGCAACTGAAACCAACCTCAAGCAGAGTTAGGCATGGATGAAGTCTTGGAAGAGACTCACAGACGTTTTAAAGACAGAAATTTGGGGAGACCTAGTGATCTAGGGAGCAAGAAGTGATGAGATTCATTCAGATACTGATGCTGAATTAAAGATGTCGTCTTCACTCCTTCTGGTAATGCCTTCGATGCAGATTCCATCTTAGGGTTCTACTTAGCCAAATCCCGGGGGTACCTGATCACCTCCTGACAGGGTCCCAAAGCAGATTGGCTGCACAGACATCAGAAAGGGGAAAATAAACTCCAGCAAATGCACCAGGGGTCCCAGGAGTACTTACCTTCACGAAGTGCCATACCAGGCTTCCTGTCTCCTCTCTGGTCCCACTGGCTGACAACAGGAAGCAGCAGTACCCTCTGCGACAAAGACTATCGCTACTGTGTCTCTCCAGGCCACCACTGGAGCATGGCTGGGACCATTTCTTCATTTTAGTAGCCTTGATTATGAGACTTTTGAATCTAGCAATTCTTTCTATTAATCCAGCCAAATTTTCAACAGTGAAAAAGGCCCCTCATCAAAATCATTGAGACTTCTAAAATCCTCCTGGTTCCATTCATAGGATATTTACATGATTCTCTTGATAACAAGTTCTCTGGACATTTGTCCTTTCAGGAGACTTTCCAAGCCCAGAGTGATGAAAATGCCTGGAATGTTCCGTGGCTTCTCTCTAGAGCCCTCGTAGCTAAGTGGTTTCAAACACGAGCCCTTCCAACCACTTGCTAAGTGTTGGGTAGGACGGTATTCCTGCTAACATTCTGCCAGTGACATACTCCATACGTTAGTGCCTGGCTGAGAGCCTACAGAGCGGTAGTGTCAGAGTCTGGGCTGGAATCCAGACTGCGTCTATAATAAGAAATGGGTGAGTTCAGTAGGAAGACAGTGACATGAACCAGCTAAGCCCTGGCTATATGGGGACCCTAAAGACTGGATTTGCTTCTTGTCCAATGGCAGACAGTAGTAGTATGTCACAGGGGTTGACCTTAGTGTCCTTTACTCTTTCTTTGATCCTTGAGGCTTAAGGTTGACCTCTCCAAGCTCCCGGAAGCAAGGGGAAACCAACCTTGTTCCCGAGGACCTCGCCTGGCATCTATTACTCATCTCAGTCTTTCTGACAGCGGTGGCCCTGACAGCCTGGTGTCTCCTCTTATTCACAGTGCTCAAATGACACCTCTGACTGTGCCACCTACACCTTCAGCTCAGGAATCAATGCCATCCAGGAGTGGTACAAGCTTCACTACATGAATATCATGGCGCAGGTGCCTCTAGAGAAGAAAATCAACATGAGCTATTCTGCCGAAGAACTGTTGGTGACCTGCTTCTTCGATGGGATGTCCTGTGATGCCAGGTCAGGAGGGGACACTCTCTGAGGACCGGAGGCCCTAACCTTTGGCCCCTTTCCATGCACCTGCAGCTTGTCTGAGGGTCTTAAGAACACTGACTCTGCCCTGTGGGGAATCACATGCACGGGAGCCAGGTTCCAGGGTCAATGGAAAAATGTACCTGGTGTGGAATCACAATATCTGTGTACTTTTTTTTTTTTTAAGACAGAGCTTCTCTGTGTAGCCCTGGCTTTCCTAGAACTCACTCTGGCAAATTATAATATCTTTAAACCCATTAAACAACCTGTCACAACACAAGGTAGTCAATAGCACACATGTAGCTTTGTATATTACTACAGTGTATAAGAGCCACTACTCTGGTATAGTGAAAGGGAGGGAGGGAGGGAGGAATAAAAGAAAAGAAGAGAAGGAAGGAAGCAGGCAGCAGTGTTTATATTTGTGATTCTTCAAGCCATTCCACCTTGGATACAATAATCATCCCTGGTGGTGACAATTAAGTCATTGGGACATTCTGAGATGACCCCACCAGTCGGAATGGTTTAACAATCTTTTTTCTGAATTTCTGAATTCTGACCCTTCTATACATTAATACACACATTGGTCCTTGCAAATATTAAGTGTTTTGGGGGTAATCCTGAGGGTAAAGGTTCTGAAATTGCATGTTGGCCATAGGATGAGACTCCTCTGAAGGTCTTTCATGGGACTGGGGATTCAAAAAGCTCTAAGTGCCAGAGAAATTCAAGGGTAGAGGAATTTGGGGGCAGTCATGTGACATGAATATCATCTCGAGGCTGAGGATGTAGTTCACTTGGCAGTGCTTGCTTAACCAGCATCAAGTCTCGGGTTCCACCTCTAGGATGGTGGTACACACCAGTACTCCTAGCGCTCTGGAGACGGAAGCAGCAGGATAGGATGTTCAGTGCTTTTCTTGGCCACCTGGGGAATTTGAAGTGAGCCTGGGATACATGAGACCCTATTTCAAAGACAAAATAATGTGAAATCAAAATAGAGAAAGCAGCGAGAGGATTATGAGAGAGAAAACAAGGGCATGGTCAAATTCTACATCAAGGCGTGTCAGCCTGGCTGAGGGACCTGCTCATTTCACCAAAGGAAAAGTGAGTCACCTTCCCAGCCATTATCCCAAAGGAAGGCTTTCTCCATCAACACGGTGCTCCCGAATTTCAACTGGGATGCACAAGCGCAAGCCCCAGCCCAGCTCTTCCTGAACCTTTCTCTCCCTCCATAGGAACTTCACACTTTTCCACCATCCAATGTATGGAAATTGCTACACGTTCAACAACAGAGAGAATGCCACCATCCTCAGCACCTCCATGGGGGGCAGTGAGTACGGTAAGGAAACCTGAGTGGAGGGGACCCTGAGAGTTACACTGGAGTAACCACCCTGATGTCAGCAGTACAAGTCAGGACTGCTTCCAATTCCCTCCCCCTGGCTCTGAAGTGAAGACACACTTCCTCTCTCCCCGTGCATACACGTGCATCCTCGTGCATTCTTTTCTTGCTGTAGGCGTGTTTTCCTTTCTGCCGTCTCCATCTTTGAGAGAGCCACAGAGACACTGCTGGGCTTCCTTCAGCTGACAAACCACTCTGGTTTAAGCTCGTTGCTGGGGTGACTAATACTGGGCAGGTGGCGTCTAAACAGAGCTAAACCCCGATGGGCTGAATAGGAGATTAGGCGGGCAGACACACCTTCAGTTTAGTTCAGATGACAGATTCTGCAGCCCAACCCCAGCTCTGCCTCTCACTGTGTGACCTTGGTTACTGCCCTTCAACTATAAAACGAGAACAATAACAGTAGCTCCCATAAATGTTATTCAGAGAACTTAGAATAAGATCTGGATCACACTCCAGCTACCATACCAAAATACCACGGTTTGGGCATCAACAATAGATATTAATTTCTCACAATGCTGAAGGCTGGAAGTTCAGGATTAAGGCGCTAGCACTTGCGGATTCAGATGAGACATCTCTTTGTGGTTGCAGGTGACTGTCTTCAACGTGTGTCCTCACAGGGCCTTTCCTCTGTCTCAAGAGGATGCTGTGATGTCACTCCTTTTTATAAGGACAGCAGTCCCATCGGATTAGAGCCATGCCCTTAAGACCTTATTGAGCCTTCATTAGAGTCCTGTCTCCAAATGCCTTCACACTGGAGATAGGCGCTTGGCCCTGTGAATCTGGTCTAGGGAGGGTACACACTCCAGCCACACACACTGTGCATGCAGCCATCACTGATGACACTGCAGCCACCACCACACTGTTTATGACACCGCTACTTCCACCATGTCTACTTAATGGGGAAGGTAAGAACATGGCAGACTGGCTTGGTTTCCTCACAAAAGGAGCTCCCCCACGTCTTTTCTGTGGTGCTGAGGATCCAACCAATGGCCTTGCACACACTGGGCAAAGCACTCTGCTGCCGGGCTGTACCCCTAGCCCCTGTTTATAGCCCAGGGTGACCCCAAACGTGTGAGCTTCCTAACACAGCCTCCTGAGTCCTGAGAGTACAGGCGTACAGGCACTGCCCTGTCTAGCCAAAGGGAATTCTTGAAGAGTTCAATATAAATAGAACTTAATATTTTACGCAGATATACTCTTGTTAGGAATAGCCAGGCTCTGTTACAGGTGAAATCTACACTCAGAATCCTGGCTTTCATAACTCTGAAATGTGGGTTCTGTCCAAGACCATGAGAAGCTGTGACCCAGAGTGCACGTTGCTGTGGCAAGAGACTGACTGGGAACTGAGTGAAGAGAGGCAAAGTTCTGGCTCTGCTGTGGAGAAGCTGTGTGGCCTTCTGTATGCCATATCCCTCTCTGGGCTCAGTTCCCTTATTTATAAACAGAAGGGGTTGGGATAGTTCTGAAGTTCTCATCGTTCGATTCACATAGATTATAGCCTTCATTCATTCATTCATTCATTCATTCACCAAACACCATCCGCTATCCGCTGGCCCCACTTTGAGGAGCCAGGGATACAGTGGGGAATGAGACAGATGCCGATCCTGCTTTTAGGGGACTTGCATTCCTGAGGAAAGAGCCACTAGGGAAACAAATAAGCGTGCAGAGAAATGATTTCATCACAGTACTAATGAAAGGTAGGAGGGGGAGGGTGCAGAAAAAGGGAAGACAGAGTGGCTGGGCTCAGAATGGGAGTTTGAACTGGAAAATGGGGGGGCTCAGAAAGACCTCATTGAGGGGGATATTTAAAGATGAGGAGGCCCCTGTTCACTCTCATAGAAGTCTAGGTTCTAAAGAAAAAGTGAATCCATTGTGTTCTAGAGAGATAAATAAATTGTATTAGTTACCTTTCTGCCGCTATGATTAAACAACCCGACCAAGGCAACATATTCATTTAGGCTTACAGTTCAGTGGGTTAGAATCCTTGGTGATGGAGCAAAGACATGGTGGCAGGAACAGCTGAGAGCTGCAAGCAGGAGGCAGAGAGCACACTAGGGGTGGCAGGAAGTGTCTGAAGCTTCCAAGCTTACCCCTGTGACGTCTCCTCCAAGGACACAGCTCCTAATCCTTCCCAAACAGTCCCACCAACTGGGGTCCAAGAATTCAACATATGCATTACAGCAGGCTGGAGGGGGGTGGAATTCTTATTCAGACTACCCCATTAGAGCAGTGTGCTTGGAGCTGATCCAGAAAGGGAGAGAGTGGGGTAAGTTGAGGATAAAGACAGATCCCGCTACATCTTCGTAGCCTTGATGGTGACAGGCAGGGAGAATCGGTGGCATTTCAGAGAGGTTTCACTGAAGGGCTTCAGGCAGTGCTTTGAACTGATTTCCAGGCTTTAAAGTTTCATCTGGCAGCTGGGTACAGAATATATCCCACAGAGAGAACAAACACAGGGGAAGGAGAGAGATTAAACCAACAACCAGGCACATGATCACATATTATCTCTTCCCGGGCTCTTCTGTAAACAGCCACAGTACTTAAGGTACCCTTGGATGTCCAGTAGAACCTCCTTTATCACCAACTACATAGATGTATACATCTCAGCCAGTTCCTTCATATTTAGTAGGAATTTAGTCTTAGCTAGCACTATGACCGTGATATGTATTTGAACCACTACTTTGAACTTGCAATAAGCAGATCAAACACAAATCTTACTGTCCTAGAGATTCCAGTCTGGCATTCACCCTACCTTTTACTTCCTGGAAGTCCCTGGGTCTTGGATTGGAGGCTCCCCCAAAGCCCCTGGGGGACTGTTTTGCTAGCCTTTGATCACAGCAAGCTGCTCTGTCTCTCAGGACTGCAAGTCATCTTATACATAAATGAAGACGAATACAACCCCTTCCTGGTGTCCTCCACTGGAGCCAAGGTGCTTATCCATCAGCAGAATGAATACCCCTTCATCGAAGATGTGGGCACAGAGATTGAGACGGCAATGTCCACCTCCATAGGAATGCACCTGGTAAGAGGATGTTCCTTGGCTTATGTTTAGAAAAGAGCACTATGTTTTTTATTTTGAATGATGGCTATGGAGGAACAGCTAATAATAAAGGATGCTGTTTTCCAAGAGAGCATGGGTCTGGGCTTTCCAATGGCCACCCCAATGGTCATCCCAAGAATCGCATTCAAGTCTGTGTGTGCATCTTTCATGTGAGTTAGCAAGCACGGAATGCCATCTGGGGAAATAACCCAGGGAAACTCCCTTGCTAAAAATGAAACAAAGCACCAGTGTGTATAGAAACAGAGCATCAGACACTAGCTATAGAATTGTCAGTCTATATAAAAAGAAAGCAGATAACATGCTTACAGGCATATGAGGGGGCTTTGACAACAAGACATTGTATCTATTATAGTTTTTTTTTTTAATTTTTACATTCTTCCTTAGTGGAGATTTTTTTAAACCTGTGCGTGTTGGAAAACTAGACAAACAATCTCTTCACAGACTATTGCTTATGTCTTTATTGGCATCTGTGTTCAATGTCTCACAGGAAGCTCAGCTACTGTACCTCACAGACTTAGTCTCCAGAGCAGTGGTTTCCAAAATCTGAGCCACTAGGTTCAAATTTCCTAAATGAGAATTTCTGAAAGGTTTGTCAAGGATCAAAACCTTGTGATGATCACAAGATTCAATATTATTAGGAAATGTGATTTAGAAGCTGAAGCGATTCTCAGTCAGAGGTTGTGAGGTGATGTGGTGGGCATTCGAGGCTTGATTGACCCTCCATCATGTAGTCTTTCGACAGTTATTTTCTCTGTATTTTACCAGTGCTAAACCCAGGGGACTCGAGCAGAGAGAATCAAGAGTGAGAAAGTGTGCAAATGACAAATTATAATTACTGCATGCTATAAGGAGGAATGAGGCTGGGCATAGTGGATCCTGTCTGTAACCCTAGCACTTAAGAAGTCAAGGCTGAGTTCCAGGCCTACCTGATCCAAATGGAAAGACACTACCTCACAAAGCAAAACAAGAGGCAGGTGGCAGAGGGCTTCATAAGAATATATCATGGGTGTCTTGGTCAGTTTTCTGGTTAAATGCCTAAAATTGGACTATTTATAAAATAGAGACTTTTGTTTAGCTTGTGATTTGGGGCTGGAAAGCCCAGCATGGTGGTGACCACTGGTGAAGGGTCTTCTTGCTGTATTGCAACAGGACAGGAACCTCACAAAGTGAGCACTCTAGCTCAGGTTGCAATTCCTCTTCTTATAAAGTCGCGATGTCATCATAGAGACCCACCATGTGCCCTAATCTCCTAATGATCTCCAAAGATCCCTTCCCAAATATTATCAACACATGACTTTTGGGATTACATTTACAACACATGAATTTTGAAGTGATACATTTGAACCGTAGGGATAGGATTCTGACCCATAGGAAAGTGAGATTCAGGGTATGCTATTCTGAGGAAATGTGATTTAAGAATCACTAGGAGAGGTGATGAAATAGAATGGTGGTGGTACCCATGCCATCTGTCCCTTCAAAATATGTAGGGGAGAAAACCATCCTGTTAGTCGCCTGGTGATACAGATGCTCTCAGACACACATCGCTTAGGACCTTTGTTCCACCATAGGTGATACGTAATGTGTACAGCTTGAGCTATATAAATGCTGATTTCCCAAAGATAAAAAAAGTATGTTGATTCTTAAGCATGCTCAAATGAGGAATTGGAAAACCTGGGGTACCACTAATTTCTCTGTTCACCAAAGAGCCAAAAGCTGCCAGAAGACAACAGAGGACATTTCCACCCAACCACCCACCATACTGTTTCCCTGAACCCTGAAGAAGGACTTGGACTTTTCAACCTTTTCTTCCCTTTCTCCCCCCCCCCCCTCACCTCTGCCTCTGTAGCATCTGGAAATGGCTAAGAGTTCAGTAAGCTTTCAAAAGTTCAAAAGAAAATGGATTCTGCCCTCTGGGTCTCGGCTTTGAGCTCAGAAACACCCACCATATTATTAAGCAAACAGTCTCTGTACCAATGGTGGGTAAACAGGATCGGGTTGAGTTCTCTGCTACACCTGTAGAAAGTCAAACCCATGCAGCGGGTCAGTCAGCCAGAGGTATGATTGATGACCATGTCGAACAACAACAACAGAAAGACAAGGGTTACTGAGGTCAGCAGGGACTCACTAAGAATAAATCCAAACAAGCTAGACTTCCTTCCTTCTTCATTTTCCACATTTGTTTGTTTGCTCGTTATTTATTGTCGATAGGCAGGCTAAGCTGATAGACTTAGTTAGGGAATTGGTCACCAAACTTTTCTTATTTCTTAAAGGCCTATATGGCTTAACATGTTCAAGACTCTGAATATCAAAAGATGGACCCAACCTTTAAGAGAAGACAAAAATCAACACCTCCAAGCTGAGGAGGCAGCTTGCTGATAGAGCATTTGCCTAGTATGCTCAATGTTTTGGGTTCTAGCAACACAGACACACACACACACACACACACACACACACACTCTATTGATCTATTGTTGATTGATCCATTGATCAACATATATCTGGAACATAGAACTTGTGTCTGGGGAAACAAGGACCCTGTCTTGTACCTAGTTTCAGATCATGAAACATAACATATTCCCAGTGATTACTGGGTAGGTGAATGCATGAAAGAATGAATGGATGGGTAGCTAGATGGGTAGATAGCCAGGGGCTATTGGAAAAGCTTCCTAAATGATGAATTCTTGAACAAGAAGTTTCTACTAACTGATGTCAGAAAGGGCTAGTTCATACAGAGAGCATGGCAACTATAAAAGAGCCATGGGTAGGATGTTAAGCTACATAGTAAAGCTTTTTGAACATTGAAAGCTGGATACAGTGGCACATGCTTGTAAGTCTAGCTGGACACAGTGACACATGTCTGTAATTCTAGCATTTAGGAGGCTACAAGAGGAACATCAGGAGTTTGAAGCCAGCCCTGCCTACATAGTGAGGCTTTGTTTTAAAAATATCATTTTGATTAAAGCCCAATCATATGCTAGAAACAGCACATTAATAATCTCAGAGAGAAGCTCTAAGAACTTTCACTAGGGCAATGGCATGAAGCTGAGCAGGGGTGAGATGCAGAGATAGTGTAGAAGCAGTAGGGCTTGATAACAAACAGATTATAGCAAGAAAAGCTAGGAGAAACTCGGTGGACATTTGGGTCCTGGCCGAGCTGTGGGGTGGGTCAGTGTCAGGCTCATAATTAGTCAATAAAAGAGAAAGGGTGCTAAAGATGACTACTTTAATTCAAGATTTGCCTAATCTGTTGTGTCCTGAGGGCAAGAACGGGTCAAGTTAATATGTCCAGTAAGTGGACTTAGAGCTCAGAAGAAAACCTTCAAGACTTGGAAATAAATGTCCTCACCCAAGACCTAAAAGAGAACCCTCAGCATGAGTTGTTTCAGAGTTGAGCAGAAGGGAAATAGAGAGGCAGAGGAGCAGATGCCAGGAGGAATCCGTGCCAGACAACTGGGAAGGAGCTGCGGGAAGGTGTGCCAAGTGCACTGAGGGGTCAGGCAAGGTGAAAGGTGAGAGGAGCTCTTGGAGTTTGGAGACCAAGAGGGCACTGGCATTCTCTGCCAAGACAGCCTCCAGTGGAAGGAGTGGAACAGAAACTAGAGGACAATAGGCTGGACGGTGAATGGGAGTTGAGGAAGTGAAGAAGGGTGGACCGTTCACTCAGGAGACGAAGGGCTGAGTCATGGAGCAGAGAGACACTGCACCGTCCTGCAAACCCATCAGTTCTTCTCACAGGATATGTATCTCAGGGATGTAGGCCTCAGGGGCTTTGATTTTGCCCTTTGGTTCTACAATCCCCGCACCTTGGTTGCCACATCTGTATAATGGGATGGTGACCAAAATGCCGCTTTGTGGCCGGGGAGAGTTCAGCAGGTTAATGTCTGTGAGGCACTTGTGTTACATGCACGGCATGCTTGGCACATAACAAGGGCTCAGAAAAATGCACTAGCATTCCTGTACATGTTTTAAGAAAGATATGGCCAGGCATGATAGAGAATGCCGGCAATCCCTGCACCCAGGGGGTGGAAGGAGTCACAGATTTGATGCCAGCCTGGGATATACAGCAAGACTTCTCTGAGAGATGTTAGGGAAGGTTTATATTTTCTTTTTAATAACCCTTTCTTTTATAAGATATATATGCAACACACACACACACACACATATATATATTACTATATACTATTATATATGTGAAGAAATACTAATTACACATATATAAAATATCCTAATTACTTGCTGTATGTGTTGAAAACATCTACCCTAGTTTGGGCTTTCCTTTGAGTTCCTCACAGTATTTTCCAATAAAAAGCACTGAGTGTTGCAGTGAGCTGCAACACTGCAACCTGCAGTGACCTTTCTTTTCAACAAAGAAAAGTCGTGACCTTTCCCCCATTCTTTTGTCAGTATGTTTACTGAGGGGTTTCCCTCTTTGAGCTCAGATACTGAAGTGAATTTTCTTCCAATTCTTTTACCACTTCATTTAATACTTCAACCAATTTGATTTCTTTTCTACAGGATGTAAAGTAGACACTAAGTATATGTCTTCCTATAAACCTTTTTTTAAATGTCATAACTTCTTATTTTCAGCAATTTGTTCTCACCATTAATTAGGGGTATAAATTGATTTTCAACACACACACACACATTTATAATATACCACAAAATGCCAAGAGTTAAATCACTGTTTCAGTTACTCTTCTCATCGTGTGACAAAAACAGCGTAGAGACAAAGCAACCTAAAGAAGGAAGGATTTAACTTGACCCCTCGGTTTGAGGATACAGTCCACGATGGTGAGGAAGGGGTACGAGAGGCAGCAGGAAGTGACTGATTACACTGTGCCCACAGGCAGCAAGCAGAAGGAGAGATGGAGGCTGGTGTTCAGTTGGCTTTCACTTGTTTCCTTTATTCAGTCTGGGACCCTCAGCCTATGGGAGGGTGCTACCCGCACGCTAGGTGGGTT